AGTTCAGAAGAAAGTCAACGTGAAATAAACAAAATGTTTGACTGAAAAAAGGATGATTTTCAAAAAAATTTATTCTGAACAATTCTTAATAAAGTCGACTAAATTAGAAACATCATCTACACACAGATGAATATAGAAATTGTAAATTACTCTACGATATCATATAACGTTTTATCAGTTCACTTAGAGAGAATGACCTTCACTTCTATACTGTGAATCATGTACTTTAAGTTTTTTTATTATTATCATTTATATTTCAAATCACAATAAAGTCACGTTGTAAATTCATCGTGTTGTTGAAATCAAAAAGGATTTCAGTTTTTTGTGTTTATGAAGTTGAATAGCATATGTCACTGATTCAAATCCCAGCAGCTCACTGAAAATATATGTTACTGACAAGCTGTATAAATGGAAAAGAACTGAATATCATGATTTCGGCTTCTCAAACTGAGTAAATGTTATTGGGGTGGGGGTGGGGGGTCGACTTCATCCTAAGTGATGTTACTATGAATAGGCGCTGTTTCATTCTATTCTAATCAGTTTCACTTGAACTGGAAAAGCTCATTTGTCATAATTTTTAAGGGTATGATCTCTGAAATTAAAAACAAAACCTTAAATGTTGTAGCAGGAGGAACAACCACGACTGGGTTACCAACTCGATGGTTTACCAGGTGGCAAGTGAGATAAGGCTACCTATCAAGTCTCAGTCGCATCCCATCCATAAACAGTTTTTTCCTAACCGTTATGTAAATAATGGATGCATTTTCATCTCAAAAGCATCTAACCAACTGTTTAACCAATGACTAACTGTATTCCCACTGAGTGTCACAAAGCTTCTCTCAAGCATAGCCTCTTACCAACTGATTTAAGGTGGAGCTACTCAGATTTGTAATGGGCCGACTAATTTAGTTAATTAAACAGTCCAGTGTACAGTAAATTTGACTGTTTGTTAGTCTATACCTATCAGGAAGACAATTAGCAGTGCTAGTGAACCCAATGTGTTATTTAGTTTTAAGCGTATCAAAAAACTCCTACTAAAATTTCCTGTTTTCAGTGACACTGTTTTTCTCTAGTCACTGTACATATACTGATCACTGTATAGCCATCGAACCTGGGTTTCGTGCTTATTTGAGGTCCTAGGTTTAATAACAACACTGAAAACTTGACTAATGATTGGACAACATAGTAGTGGTTACTTCACAGTAACCAATTGTTATATCTATCACAATTCTATGAGAGATCAATCATGCCCCAACTAGCTAAGTAATAGGAACTCAGAATGATATCAGTTCGAATCCTTGAGGGGACATCAGTTCCTTCTGCGTTGAATTTGCACTTTGTTGGCAAAAAACAATCTAGAATTGGAGCTTCTTGTTGTTGATCACAAAATTCAGAGCGTATGCTAACGGCAAGTATCATAGCATTGTGATCATAGTGAAGAAGAGAATGAAGCTAGCGGTAAGGTAAAAACAGTATAGCCACAGTAGTTACACCTCAGTTATCAGTCACAGGAATCAGTGTGTGTATTTGTAATTTCATGAACTCTTGAGAGTATTTTTAGGGGTAAGCAGTCTACTTTTTATACACGAAAATGAAATAATTGCCTGTGTATACCCTACCTTCTTTTGGTTTCTTATGGTTATTTTTAGATAAAAGATAATCTGAATTATGAGAAGATTGTTGCATAATTTAAAGTGAACAAGTTTCACTCTGTATTACATTTCTTAAAGTCTAATGAAAACTATTCTTCGAGTACGGTGTATTTGTAGTGATCTTAGTATATTAGGAGAACCACTTCAACTCTTAGAATAGTTTCTATTTACCCTTTTGCTTAGAATATCATTGTTTACATAAATGATATTTTGTGCAAGTGGTCTAAAAGTGCTATAATTCACTTACATCAATTTTCTTTTTGAAAAGCGTAATTTTCTCTTATATTCTCCAATCTTTGAGAGTTGTTAATTTAAAGTGAATACATTACATTACTCCACTGGAAACATGAAGTGATTACCTAAATCGGTTTATTTGAAATCACTGAGACTATTTTCACGCATAAAATACGAACTGGTTGTTGTATATTTTCAATTATTGGTTTGCAGTGATGTGATTGGTTAAAGGTCTGATCAACTGCTGGCATCACTCAGAGAAGTACCAAACTGGGAAGAAACAATTATCCAGTACTTCTTGGCTTTCTATGAATGATGTCAGCTGATAATCGAACCTGTAACTGTTGTCAGCAGGGTAAGCAACGTGCCAATAAACCAGCTTGTTAATATTCTGGTTGACAGGCGTTTGGACTCATGTGAAAAATGGGCCAAATCCATTTTATCTAACTCACACCACCCTCTCCAACTCCCTTGCATCTCGTCAGGCGAAACCAGAAGCCGATATAGAAAATTAAATGCTCGCACCAGCAAGTACAAAAACTCAACCATACCCTACTTGGCTCGTGTTCTGTGCGATAAAGAAAGCATTAGGCGTGACACCTATAATTCATTAAATAGTCAGTAGAACAACTGAACCTCGTCTTTCCAACTCATATCATTTATAGATACAACATTTTCTTTCTTTCTTTTCCTTTTCTCTCTCTCTTTTTTTCCGTTATGTGCTTTTTTGTTTCTTTCTCTCGCTTACGCCAGTAAATATGATATCACCTACTTTTTTAATACTTCCAAACACTGTTCAACTTTGGCTTTGCTACCGACATGCCAATATGTTGTTTTCATAATGAACCGAGATTTCCTTAATCTATGTAGAATTCTATTTATTGATAATGTACTAACTGGATGCAATACTGTAGTAAAAATGCTGAGAATTCCATTCTGTATCACAAGTACTGTTTTGGAATAAAGTAAATTATTATTATTATTATATTTGTTTCTACATTATACCTGGAGAAAACTCCAATTACTGCATGATTTGTTGACGTTTATAACTGAAGATGACGATGAGATAATTACTGCATTTATGAGATTTTGTGATAGTCAGGTTAAGAATTAAAACTGAATACTTCAGTTTTTCTAACTACTTATTGCTGTTCCTACATGTAATACCACTCTTAAGTCATGAAATCAGTAACTAACTAGCGACAAACTTGTCTGCATACTCCCGATTGTTAATGGCTTCTAAGTCAGTGAAATTTTGAAGAAATTCGCAACAAAAATGTCCAGTAACGTGTGATAACCCTTCAAATGAGTAAAAGCGCCAGTTTAAATTTTCTTTTCACAGGAATGTAAGATATGATAGGGATTATTTCAAACCACAGATAGTGTTGAATTCACCACAGTCGCGGTTTGATTAACAGTCCAGGAAATATATACATTACTTCGATTTTCATCAGTATGATAAATGCAAAACGTCTAGCTATTTGATCATTTGTTAGTCGAGGACAACTGGTGTTCTGGTGAAAGATCCGAATACGAATAATGATGTTATGTGCCTGAAGCAGCTGAAACGTACAACTAATTTAGTATCTGCCGTGAAAGCATGGACGAATGCGAAATATTTACACAATATTTTTAGAAATTTTGTGATAAAAGATACATGTCAGGCATGTTATTGATTGCACGGAGTATGTTCACAACCATCAAAGAAAAGTTTCCTAAATTAACAAGCTATTTCTCTCTCTCTCTCTCTCTCTATATATATATATATATATATATATATATGAAGCATTTCGAGAATTCGTTCCGAAATTCGGGTCTCGGCCAGCTCAGTCGATAGGTATCTATCATTACCAACGACTTAGTAACGACATAGAAATAGAGGGCATGACAGCTAAGCTGAATTCCTAATTTTGATATATAAATCTACGGCACCCTGTCGACTTATAAATCAATAGTAATGACATTGTGTCAATATATATATTCCCTGAACTAGAAAAAAAGCATTTAATTATTCATTTTTACATAGCTTTATGACTACTGTTACGTCATGAGACTGATTGGCAGTGACACTCACATTATTCACGAATATGTGAATAAAAGCTGTCACCACATTTTGTAAGTTACAAAAAGTTTTGTTAACTCTTTAAATGAAAGGCTGCTGTTTCTGTCACTTCTGTAAGATATGCAAGGAGTTACCGAAGTGCTAAATGTTTCACCGTCATTGACAGTCAGTTGAATAATTCATTTCAGTAATGGTGTGTGCGTTGGTGGCACAGAGGTAGAATGCTCGCCAACCGCACATGTGGTCCGCAGTTCGATCCCCGGCCACCGACGCACTACTTTACCTCACTAAACCGGTAATAAGACTGGTTAAGAGGGAAGGTTGGGTGTGAGGCTAGCAACCCCATCCTGTAAAGCAAACACCACTGCTACCGAAACTTCAAGCCTCCAGCTCGAAGCCCAATATTCCACTGGGAACGTAAAGGAATAAAGAAAAAATGAATAATTCATTTCAGTAGTGGTTCATAGTATGAAATTCACAGTCCTTATTAAATTATGCTTTTATAATTTTCATAATTTGTTTTGCATGTTACTCTATTGATGCATTTTAAGAATAATACACTAGAGAACTTATGAGTACCTCTCTCTCTCTCTTTCTCTCTGTCTCTCTCACACACACACACAAATACACATGAACATGAACATGATAAATAAAAAATTTTAAGAATTGAATTATAGGTAATTTTTGTAATTGAGATAACATACACTTGAAATGCTGCGTCTCTATGTGCACATGTATACAAACCTCTGTCCTATCCTAGTTCATCTACACTTACCAATGTATATATATATATATTTATCAATTCATATTGTTCTGCTATGTACATAAACACGCATTATTAGCCAGATAGATAGGTAGATATGTATAGATTCATTTGTATGCATAGATGATTAAAGTGGGTAGACAATTAATGAATTTAATAGTCTGTAGATAGTCAATTATTACTATTATTATTATTACTACTATTGTTAGTATACGTGTAACCACCTGTTCAGTTTTCAGTGATAAGATTTTGTAATCTTGAATGTGTATTATCAAAGTTTGAATTTTAGGAAGTACCATGACAACAGTGAAAGTTATAACAACGACACCAACACCAACAACGACAAGAGGAGTAGCCATTCAAGATTAATACTTTTTTTTAAACAAAGAACCAATTTCAAATGTATTTAAGACTTTCATATTCTTAATAATGTTACTAGAACTTGAAATCCAGTAATAAATGAATACATTCATTCAAACAAATTGAGTCATGAGCTGTGCCCAGATTACAATTCAAGAGTATATTTTAACAAAGCCCTACACATCAATGAATAATTATTCTACAGATGATTCATCAGACTCACAAGTTATCCCGGCTCAAAGTGACGATGGTGGCGGTGTTGAAGGCAATGCGTCAGAAAACATGGTAGAAGAACAAGAATCATGGAAAATGTCACCATTACTACAAAAAGAAGAAATTGAATCAGAAACTGATGTGAACCCGATAAATAACGATTACAAGGTTGACCAATCTCAATGTAAACAATCACCATCTGAATACCAGTTGAATAAACCTGAAGTACTAATGACAAAGGAAAATATACATCAAACTGATTCTGACCTTTGCGGTAAAGGATTTGACGACACGAGTAACAGTAAGTTTTAATCTGTATGTAAACTACTAAGTGCCGTTTTTTTAAAAAGAAGAAAATTCATGCAACCTATCGAACATGATTTGAATTTGAGGGTAAATTTGCTCTAAAGTAGTAAACGCTCAACATGGGCTTCGTTATGATTAAATGTTTTTGATACGTTAAGTGAATTCGCAAAACATAGAGTATTCCCTTGAAACAGAGTAGCTGAGATATGAACCTTTTAGACACCCATTAGGTACGCAGAGATGGTCGTCCAATACTCTTCAATGACTCAGTCGAAACTGTTGTGAAACTATTTCGGAAAATGCCTTAAAATATAGTTTGAACTAAATGGAACAACTATTAAAAGTTGAATGGTAATAAACGGTTATTTCAACTTACTCTAGAAAGGCTTAGTAAAAATTAGTTTATAATAGATTTTTAGACAGAAAAAGGTCTTTATTGCTGTTGTTTAGAAGTTAAATGAGGTACCAGGAATACTAAACGCGAATAAGAGTGTATGATGAGTGAGAATTGCAATAATTAAGCCACTTATTGAATTTAGGAATATTTTCCAATACATGTCCACATTGGCTGGTAAATTACTGAATTACAGACAGAACTGCATTATTCCTTCGTCCTGGTTCTGGCACCTAAAGTGTACAACCATTACCACATATCTAATTAAGCCATACAGTCAGTAGCCTACGTTTCTATTAAGCCTGACTTCCTGAATTTTGCCAATTGTTGATATAGCGTAAACGACAGTCTACATTGTCGATTTTTGATAATTATCTCATCTTCGAAGCAATACATCTCACTAAGGAATATAAATAGCTATTATATTTCCGACTTTACAGTTTAAAGGTAACATATCCTGAAATAAACGTGATAATTTTGCCCATGATTGTGTGTTTACTAATTTTCAAACTTTTTCAAATACTGGACGGTATAAATCACAAGTGCTACCCTTTTTTGATGGTTGTTTAACTAATATTCGTTTAAAACAGTCAATAAAATTAAACGAAACTTACAAACGAAGTGTTGACAAACATCTTAACTTGCGTGAATTTCTCATAAAAAATTAACTTCATAATTACAATATGTGCTTAGGTTTTACTCTGAAAGGATTATCTCTTGTCTACTTTTGAACTATAAACATAATTGACCTACCTCATTTAGCATCTTGTTTGATAGGGTATTCAGTTTTTAGCATAGTTCAACTTTACAGGATTATTCATATGTACTTAAATTGTTTTTAGTTCATGTCAATGGATTAATCAGTAGTGCTATTAAAAAATAACAGCAGTTTAGTTGAAGAATATAGATAAAATAGAAATACAGTTTTATTGTAATAAATCCTAATCTTCAAATGTCTAATATACTGGTAACTGATGTTAGATGGATTTAGGCAACTATCAAGAAGCCTTGAACTTAGGTTTCGGACTAACTGGCACTCATCATTAAGAGGTATCCATAACCTCTAAAAAAACTAACGGCCCCTCAGAGGTACTAATCCGCTACTTTCATAGCTGTTGGAGGATAATCATCATGGTCATCACCAACTTACTGTGTGTCGCAATGGCGAACCACTGACAGAATTAAGTCAGCATCAATAAGTGCTAATAAATAGACATATGCCATCAGTTACTCCATGTCGACTTATCAATATTAACTGATCCATTTTTTTGGTATTTATTACACATGTGAGTAAAGACAAAATCCCTACAAAACCAATACTGGAAAATTAATCTGATGCTCACTAGTAACCGGCCCTATTCAGGCAGTTAACCTGGGGTTCTAGTGGGAAGCCGTGACCGGTAGGGTACAGCAGGTTGAATATGAGGCAGTAACTCATCGAAGAAGACATTGCGAAATGGTCGCGCTATGTCATGAATTGGCAGAAGTTAGAATTCAAGGACCATTGGATCGGGTCCCAGTGGCTCAATGGTCTACGAGCTTGCCTTGTAACCAGAAGGTCCTGGATTCGAATCCCGGTGGGTGAGTTCTGTTGAAGAGTCCCAAACTAGGACGGAACAGCTGTCCAGTACTCCCAGGTTTTCCGGTGGTTCTCTAAGTGATGTCAGCTCATGATGAAATCCTCCATGCAATAAAAACAACAAACATTTGAAATAATGAAAAAAAAATATATATATAAGTACACGATTAGAAGTTGTATGTACAAAAGGAATCAGTGACTCTGGTCGAGAACTTGCAGCCTTATCAGCACGATCAACTTTATCACTGAGATTATCCTATTTAAGGGTGAAGATATTTCCTGCCTGGGTATAAGTTCACTTACAATAACAGATGTTGTTTCACTGAGAAGAATAAGAAAAAAAGGCAAACAAAAAACAAACACCATCAGTTAAAATCAAAGATTCAGTTGAAAAATCTAACTAGCAACAGTCCAGTAAATAGATCATTTCAAAAACTGGATTGTTGTTGGTTTTCATTCTTCTTCTTTCATGGATAAGACAAAATACTTAAAAAAATCGAAACTGTCTATGCAGAACAGAACAGAACAGAATAAAATAAAATAATAATAACACAGATGAATTCTCCTTGATGAATTTGAAAATAAAACTTTGTTGAAAATAATATCACATTGATAAAATAAGAGTGAAACTGTGTCCTCTGTAGTATTGTAGTCACAAAAAAATGAAAGTACTACAGATGACAAAAACAAAACTATGGAATATTAAAAATCAATAATATTAACTAATTAACTAGAATTTCCTATAACCTGGAGCATTAACAGAACACCTTAGTTTATTACACATGTATGTAACTGTTGAATAGTAAACTCTATATGCTATCTTAAATGCTTGCGTCTATCCTGCTGCTTCTGTCTGAGTGAGAAATACCAACCGTTTCCAATTCCTATTCTTCAGAAGGTAAAATTCATCCATTTAATGAAGGTTATTGAATAAAGCAGATAAGAAGGGAGATTATTTTGATTCAATTCACTACCTGAATAAGGTGTTTTGACCCTTTCAGATGACTGAAGGATTTCATCATGAGCTGACATTGGTTAGAGAACCATTGGAAAATCTGGGAGTACTGGACAGTTGTTTCGTCAGCCTAGTTTAAGACTCTTCGGCAGTAAGCACCCACCACAGGCGGTTCGAATGCAGGACTTTCTGGTTACAAGGTGAGCTCGCAGACCATTCAGCCATTGGGACGCGATTTAATGACCATCCCACGAATTCTAACTTCTGCCAATTCAGATGATTCTCGTATTTTAAGTTAAGTTTTTCATGTTATCTTTGTACTGATTGGATTAACGTTGACGCTGTGGTATGATAATGACACAATTATGGGCAGATTAGAAATCTCGTTGATTTCTCCATTCTAGTAAATACGATTTAACCGAAATGTGACTAGTCAGCAGTTCTTTCCATATACCTGATTCATGAAGAAATCTGATTGCTAAGTAGGTTTTCGTTTTTAACCTTAATTTCGAATAATTTAGAAGGATCTAGAAAGGGACCTAGATTTGAAGAGATATTACAATGTACTGAGAAAAAGTACTAATTAGCTACTTCAGTTTTACTCATCTTCGGAAGTCCCCTAAGCCATATGTTAATATACGCATGGGGGTAACCAGTAATGGCGTTAAGAACTTCAGCTTCATCCTTTTTGTGACTTCAAACTTAAGTGTACTTGAATCTTAGTAAGTACCAGTGATCTCATCAAAATTAAATCATAGTACCCACATTTTCAAAACTCAAAGTGTTATCCAATAGACCACTGAAATACAACAGACGTCTAGTTTAGTGAGGACTAGATTTTTAATCGATATTTTCGAATGATCCCAGTGTTCATAAACTGGACTTAGGCGACAGATCTCCACTAATCATAAAAAACAAGGTCTTACTTCATGCAAGACCAAGGTATCCGTAGAAAGTAGTCAGCATGCCAGCAGAGACTGATTAATTATTCACTTCTATACCCTATACAAACAAGAAAGTGTAAACTAGTAGTCAACCCGTATATTGATAGTTGTATATTAATTTCCCAATTTTTCCAAGTGACATGAAAGTATATATTGGCGATAAATTCGTTTTATCTATCTCACACTTGCAAAATACATTTTGTTATTCAGTACATTAGATCTTCTCCTCAGATATGATCTGATCTGATGCATAAAAATAATGTGAATAGATTTATCACTACTGTTTTTGTTTTTGTTGTTAAATTCCATTAATGTAGGTAGCATTGATAAAACAGTATCTTTAAATAATCTAACAAAGAGTAACTAACATTCAACCCTATATACGACAATATGATCAGAATTAAGTTTTTGTCCATTTATATTGTATAAAGTACAAATCAAAGTGTAGAAGTGTTTTGTTTGTCTATGCATATACCATGTCCATATGACTGTAGGTGGACTTATGTCCATTTTAAGTGGATTCTCCTAATGCGAAACTTATAAAACAGCGTAAAAAAAACAATAAATTATAAAATAAACATGTACAGACAAGAAAATGCAAACATAAGGAATAAAGTAAACTCTAATCTGACAGTCTTAGTATAGTAAAGAAAGAAGCAACAAATCAAGCCTAAAATGTACTTTTCATATCTAATTCACACGGTAGAGTAACTTTATTTTTAGACAAAACTTTATGGGATGAATGCATTTCATTTCCAATGATTCTTTAAATGATATGATCAATGCGTGGTCAAACTCGGAAAACAAATCTAATTTAATACAAATCGACTCTTGAAAATTTCAAGTATTGGATTGTAGGTATTTGATTAATTGGTTACAGGATTTCATCATTAGCTGACATCGGTTAGGGAAACACTGGAAAACCTGCAGGGAGTACTGGACAGCTGTTTCGTCCTAGTCTGGGACTCTTCAGATGCTCACTAGCGACTGAACCTATTCAGACAGTCACCTGGAGTTCTTGTGGGAAGCTGAGACTAGTAGGGTACTTCAGGCGGGGAGTGAGGACAAATACTCACCAGTGACGACATTCGCTAGTAGTCGCGCTATGTCGTGAATTGGCAGAAGCTAGAATTCATTGGCTGGCAGTTGAATCGGGTCCCGGTGGCTTAATGGTCTACGAGGTTGCCTTGTAACCAGAAGGTCCTGGATTCGAACCCTGGCGGTGGGTTCGTACTGATGAAGAGTCCCAAACTAGGACGGAGGAAACAGCTGTCCAGTACTCCCTGCAGGTTTTCCAATGGTTCTCTAACCAATGTCAGCGCATGATGTAATCTCGAAAATTTTGATTACATATTTATTTTTTGATATAGTTAAGTTTTTTTTATTTGACTGTTAAGTGGAAAAATTAGGTTGTCTCCCCTTTTAAAATGTATGCTGCTTGCATTTCGAACATAATACTGAGTGAATATTTTGTTTAAATGATGGCAGCTAATGAGAGAATTCAGAGTGTACATTTCATCCTACATGGAACACACCAACCGGATTCACTCATCGTTTCGAAACACTCAAGCGTTTCCACTCCCTGGAAATGCAAGTAAATCTAGAAGACCAATCCAAATACAATGCGACATGCGTCTGCGATTTCTTTGCTGGCCACAGAAAAAGAAATATGCATAAATGGATTATTACCATGTAGGCTGTAATAAAGTCTCTTGGACGTTGAATAAATTTTGAAAACAATTATTAACATCATTATTAGGATGCATAACTTCAGGAAACGTTAAAATAAGTAGGGCATGCTGAATAACTTTTTTATCAACAAGAAATCTATGGCAGAAGGCACACTGAATTGAAATACTGGATATTTAAAAAGTAAGGCTGACAAACCACTTTAAATAAACAACTTAATTAGGTCACACTGATAGGTATTTTTGATCTTTATATGGTATGAGACATTATGGCATCAATCCACAGATGCCTGAATACAATAAGTAGCATCAAGATCTTGGGCAGAAATGCTGGTTAGTTAAAGGATTGACATCTGAGTACGGCGAAGAATCCAATCAATAAATCTTAGCTCAATAACGACGATGGGTATATTGCAGTATTAGATGAGGCCGGGAACTAATATGTGTATTATCAAATCAGGCCCAACAGATCATATTTGTCAGTTTTTATCGATTTATTTTGGAATCTGACCAGAACTTAGTGAGTTATGGATACTTTTCAAAAAAAGTAAGGAAGAAAAGCTATTATGTGCTTTTCACTTATCAGTGGTTCTCTACCTCATTCGAACTAGTGATAAGTGTTTTTTGTCTTAAGTCAATTTTGGTTTCCCTGTTGATTGACTGCACCAAAATGTCAGTTTCTAGTACGGACCCCTCCACAACGTCTGTTACGAAAGATTTGGCTCTCATGGCCCAAAACGTCTAGTAGGCGCTTGAAACGTAGGTCACTATATTAGAAGCTCAGTGAGAACACCATAACTAACTGAGGATTGCAGGTAAATCCAGTTGACGAGTCCCAAATAGGACGAAATCCACATCCTGGATTGTACTGGTAGTCACCATTCACTGAATTGATGGCAAAGGTATTTCGTTATGTAATACTTCCCCACGAATCTAACTAAAAAAGACTTGTTTTTCCAGAACACTGTTTCACTAAACAGATCTAGTTGGTTCGTATATAATTTAAAACCTTCTTCACTTAGTTAATCATGAATGATGAAGGTAGTTTCCAGAAGTAATTTTACATTCTTCAGGCAATGAAACTGATTAAGCAGGTGTTTTTAATCTACACCTTGAAATTGAAAATAAGATGAAAAAAGCCCTGATGATCAATGTATATATGTATATATTTGATTGTAAATATCAATTTATGTAGGCGGCCAGAGCTTTGATAGTGCATTAAAACTATTGCTTACTACTGACCTAAAATCAAATGCATAAATTACTGGTATATACAATATTTGTCTGTAGTGAAAAAAAAAACACAAACGAAATTTGTTTTTCTGCACACGGAATGATTCAATGACAATGAATGAATGAATGAGTGAATTAATTAATTAATGAAAAGTAATGAATACAGTGAAAAGTATAAACTTATCAACTGTGTATTACATGTATGTTTTTTGTAGTCAATTCATTGTTATGTAGTATAGATGCCTTAGTGGCGTTCAATAATTACTGGTAAGGTAGGTGACCAATAAGAATTCATGATATTTCATACTTATTGTGTGATTATTTGTGACAAATTTGAATAATTTTATGTGATCTGAGCTAATATGTCAGTCAGCATTGTGTTAGTTAAAAAGCGCTGACAGTGTGGTAATCCACTGTGGTACACAATTATTCATCAATTTATTTAAACAAACGAAACCATTTCGTCGTCTAACTTGACTTATATACTTCTTTCTTTTCTCTTTCATTACATATATACTACAATTCAAAAAATAATCAAATAGGAGGTCAATTTGTTTCAATCTCCCTAGCTGATTATCTAGACAAATTAACTAAACAATCAGAAAATCCTGGGAAAAAATTTCACAAATTATTACCCCGAGAAGTTATCAGTCATTTTCAAGCGCCAAAAATGAATTATTCATTGGACAATAAATCTCATCTGTCGACATCTTCAGTATCATCGTTATCAACACAACAGTTTGATTTAAACAACAATAACAATAACAAAGATAATAATGATGATTCGATCGATGAACAGTTGGACAATAATCAAGATCATAACAATAACAACAGTGATAAAACAATGAATAAAAACAATCATTCCAAGGCATCATTCTCAATGGATTATTTTAATTATTTAAAAAAGAGACGTGTATTTCTAATTGACAGACTGCTAAGTCGATACAGTGAATTAATCAAGTTACTGAACGAAGAATTAGTAAGTCTGATAAATTCACATTTAGTATAATAACTGTATAGACTGTGTTTATACATTCATATAGTTGTGATTAAAGTGTCATTTAACTGATTGTTTAACTTGAACATTGAACAGTTTCAATGTTTAGTTTAAAATGAATAAGTTTTCTGGAGAAACGTACATATGTCTCAATGAAAAATTATAATTTCACCACTGTAAACCTTGAATAAAGTATACTTATCCATTTTTAAATAAGATTTAATTAGTGTCTTAATTTTTGATAGTACATGTTCCGTACAACTGCATAATGATACATAAATGTTGATAAAATTCTAAATATGTTAAGATTTCTAGTAAATTTATTATACAGATTTTAAAACTTCTCCGTTTAAAATGGAACACTAGTTTCTATCTACATAACATTAAGCAAGGGACCTCAGTTGACGCATAGTCTCAGTTGATACACACAAATTTTTAGAAAAATGTTGTTTCAAATTACTGAAATATCCCAATTTTACTCATCACATTATCTACCGCTGTTACCTACTCCAGCTTTCACTATCACACAACTATTTGTGGATCAAATCTCTTATCAAGGCTTTGAAAAATCACCTCATTCACATCGGTGTAATTAATTAGTTAGCCACAAAATATCATATCTTCTCAAAAATTTGGTTTTGACAACATCAGTCAATACAAACACTCAAACGATAAGCAAAAATCATCAGAGAAGAATGCACGAAGTATCTGAATTTGACGAAAACTCCCAGATGACTAAAATCAATTCACTTCGAAACAAAGTAACCACTACGTTAATCAGATTTATGTTTTCATTCAACAGGTGATTTCTCGTCAGATTGAATCCCTACACCTGAACACGTAAACTCAAATTCCACTGATCATACTCAGTGATATACTCAGACAAAATCAACAACACGTCAATTATAAACATCAACAAATATTCACAGTGTGTTTTCATTTATGACTCACACTGACACTGACAAAACACGTTGGTGACTAGTGAACACAGTGGTGCCAAATAACGAATAAACAAACAGTGGCGTGTTCATTTTACAAAGGCGACTACTACCAACTACCGAATTCTTCTCCTCTCCATATTAGGAATCATAATACTTACAAATGTTTTTGACAGAGACGTGTCACATTCCTACTATCTGAATGAAAACTTCACTACACCAACATAAAACAAGGAGTACTACTCAACTTAATCTGTTTGACCATTGTTTTACCACTAGCTAACTCAAACATCAATACTAATTAAACTAGTTCATATAAACAAACAAACAAACAAGTAAATCAATAGACAAATATGTCTGCAAAACATGAGGAAAATGTGCAGTGGTTTGTTTTTGCATATCCTGTACAACACAAAGAGACTAGGAGATCAGTCCAATGCACGATGTTTACAATTCGTCTCATGTTAATAGGAGATGACTAATTGGCAGGTGGAGACATATCACTGTCAGTGAGTATGCGAACGTCTTCGAACACTGTTTGTTTGATGTCAAAATCAGTATGCGTGTATGTATGTGTGTGTGTTAAGTTCGCATAGTGTAGTGAAATTAAAAATACGTGAGTAATGACAGTATATCAGCTCTAAAGAATAATTCTTTTAAGACGGTAAATCTCTGTAGCCATCTAAACAAAAAATGAAGTCTAGGATACGATGACAAAGCAGTTGCATAATAAAGGCAGGAGGTGGAAGAGGTGATGAATACGTATTAAGCTGAATAACAGTGCACTGGGTTCAGCTGAAATCAGCTGAAAACAGAACACATTATCAAAATACATGACAGGGGAAAAGGAGACGTTCAAGTCAAAGATTACGCAATCAATTAAAAGAGATACTGTAGAAATCCAGTTGCAAAGACAAGGTTTAACTGATAACGTCTTCTTTCTGAACACACGAATCGGCTTTCAGGCATTGGATGGCAGTTTTTTTGGCAAACTTAAGAAGAAGCTGGATTACTTTGTCTACTGATCATTTTAAAGGATTCATCGGTGTCCATCTAATGACTCGCATAGACGAGATGCCTGGCAACGCCCCTATTGAAGGCGTTTGTTCCGTTGAGACGTAGGCTTTTTGACAAATTTTCATAAAATTGAAGCTGTACCCTTCTTTTCGTTCTCACAACAGTGCCATTGTGAGATATCTCGTTTCTGTTGCAAGAAGTCAGATATTTAGGTTTTTTGTAGTGATGAATTCATACAGCACAAAGATTTGTCGACACTATTAATTTTAACAGGAAATAATCAATTATTAGTCTGTATCTATGATTTTCTTTCTGTTGTCTACAATGATACATGATAAAAGTGACTTTGTTGTTCATGTGTGACGTAGAACTAGGTGAAGAATGTTACTTTTTCTTTGTCATCTTCATTGTCTGCTAATTGTGTAGTTAGCATGCACACAGCTTGTTCAACATGTTGTAACGACATTTTAACTGACTTTATTTACCTACAGTACTAATAAAACTAAATACGTATATGTGACAAGCAAAAGTAGAAGAAATTTTTTAAATACACTGACAGTTACAATTAATAGTGAAACCGTTTGAAATAAATATAGCACACAAATCAGTCAAATCGCTTAATTCGATATTATGCAAACCGAAAGATCCAACAGAAAAAGGAGATAAAATTAATACCATTTACAAAATAAATTGTATGAACTGCAACAAGCATTACATCGGCCAAAGTGGGCGTCCCCTTCGAATTAGAATCCAAGGTCACAAATCAGCTGTGAAAAGACACGATATGTATCCTTTAGTATCAATGCATATAGACAATTATGGTCATCAATTTGATTGGGATAATGTCAAAATCTTAGACAGAGGAAACACCAGGGAATTCCTAGAAGCCTGGTACTCAAACGAAAATGCAATTAACAAACGCGTTAATATAGACGAAATATACCAACTAATGAAAAGTAAATCAGGTGACCAGAAAGTTTAAAATCCAAGTCAATAGAAAATGGTCAATACATATGTAAAGATGGTTACCAGGAGACGTATTTGTATCACTCATGAAGAAATTTAAATCATTTCACTTTATGCTAAATATTGCGCTGAAAGGGGATGTTGTCCAGAAGGATGACGAAAGCTCCGCAACTAAACCAACCAGCTCAGAGAACACTATTAATTGCAAATCATCCACCTGAGCTACATATCTTCTCTATTACACTGACAGTTACAAATAGGACTTAAAAATGCATAGTGTCTATTTTTTGAAGTATTCACATGTAATGAAACTCGAATTTACCAGATTAAGTTTCAAATTCCATAGACGAGAGGATAGTCATTCTTACTTACTTCCTGTCAGGAAATCTCTCTGAAGTCTTTCTACATAAAACCCACTGTCAAATATCCAGATCGCAAAGATCCTGAACCCATCACTGGTTTCAGACAACTACGCCTGATACGCAGAATACTACGCACAGTAACGAATGCGGAACAACAGAAAACTAAAATGCAATACGATTGTTAATTCTCCAACCGATAACGAGACAAAAATGCAGATTACTGTCAATAAAGTCTGTAAATAAACGTTAACAGAATGTACAATTATACTTCTGATCGTATTTCTTCCGTCTTCTAGTAACCCGTATAGGACTAAGCAACGATAGTCTTCTTGTCTCCCGCCAAATGGAGATCAGTTTGAATAAACATACGTGTCACCAGCATTGACACTCACTGTTATGCATACCGTAAAGCAAATCAATAATCAATGATAAACTGCTGTTATTCTTCTAGACAAGTAAGCCCCGCTTCACTGATAATAGCTACTTGTACGTAACTGGATCTTAGTAGTCCCAAATATGTCGATATGGGCAAGATGTCTTACAATCCATATGCTTTGTTGAGATAGATGACAAAGTCACTTCCATTTAAAAAGCTCCAAAGTAAATTTATATAAAACTAAGCCTATCAGGAATGTCTCAGTTGTATGGTGAAATTACTGGAAAGTACAGAAAAATTAAACAAAATAAATAAGGGTTAAATAACTCAGCAAATAAATGAACAAATGGCCAATTAATTAATTAATTAGTTAGTTTAATACACCTGATACATATTTTCTAAAGAAGTGTACACAGAGCAATTTATAGGTGGTCTAAATATCATTGCATAACGGGATATTTGCAATTAGCATAGAGAAAAAATAAATTTATTTCTTTAAATAACAAAAAGTATATAATACCTATAGGGTTCTACTAATGATTAATATTCTTAAAACAGTCTGTATGCCTTGTGTGTATCATTAGATTTCATTTTAAATTTCCATTTATAGTAATATCCAGTGACTTTTTAATTACTTTTGCATTTCCACCATGTATATACATACTACTTTTAGCCGTTTTGCCAACAAGAAAGCAGACTTGAAAATGTAAATCCGAAACAGCTGCCATGTCACGTGTTTTCAAATCTGCCAGTACTGTAACTACAAGATGTAGATATATTCCTAAAATAGTAATATTCTTTGAAATGAATATGTTACTGAAGTCTGAAACAGCTAGAAGTACTTTGAAAAGGCTGTAGCGTGATTCTCACTTCTTATGTAAATGCGTTACACAAGACTATTGCGAAAATGTGATTTATTAGGTGTTTGTCTGTGCGGATTTGATTGGTTACAGGTTGTATCATGAGCTGACATCAGCTAGAGAACCACTTAAACCCAGGGAGCACTGGTAGGTACGTACTACTGAAGAGTGCCAAACTAGGACGAAACGGCTGCCCAGTACTCCCGGGTTTTACAGCGGTCCCCTGCCTAATTTCAAGTGGTGATCGAACCTGTATATGTGGTTTAAGCAGTTGAAAATATATCTAGAAGTTGGAATGTTCTATCATCATTATGGATTGATGAGACATAAATAATAATAATAATGCATAAAACTGCAATGTTACTGATATATTTTTTTGCTGAAATTGATCTACTGTAATTCTAATCATCAGAGTTGTAAGAATCCTATTCTGCAATGCCGCTATCTTCAACTTCCGTTAGAT